ATTTATTTATTTATTTAAATAATTTCTGCTTTATATTCTAAACTATCGCTAAATTTTTTTGTATTATTGTTAAGTGCGATTTAGAATAATCCATAGTTTTTCCTAATGTTTTCATTATAAAAAAATTATAAAAATACATCCTTAAATGTGCATCCGAGAAAAAAATGTATGAAAGTGACACGTGAGAATTTTGACTCAACCGCGAAAAATTGTACGCGTAAAGTTTAAATGGAATCACTTGATCCGTACCTGATGGTTTAAATTCCGCAATAAAGTTTCAAACCGCTCTCGATATTCCATCAAACTGTCACTCGTGCTGTTGTGCATCTCTCTCTCGAAGGGTTCAAAAACTCGCATCGACCATACGCTCGGCCATTACCGGAGAGCATTTAGCGACTCGATAGCTCCGACTAAATGACATCCTCGTGTCGATCTTTGCGACATGTTAGCAAACGACACATTACGTACATGGCGTGAAAGTTTTTATCCTTATTCGCGAGTGCCATGAGCTCCGTGATTCTTCTGATGAGCGAATGTAGAGTAAATTAAATGAATTTTGGCGCCGATTTATGTCGAGTAAAATTAATGGTGGTGAAGCCTTTATCTCCGGATTTTATTTTTTACACTAGAAATAGAAACAAGTTTAGGGGAAAGCCTGTTATGCAAGTCGATAGAGAAAGAAGCAAACGGGTTGCGCGTTCTCAACTCAATTATGTTCACGATCACGACCGCTATCGTCGAAGATCCGGCAAACGAAATAAGTAAATGAAACGACGGCGTGCTTGATTCGGCAAGAGTAACCGAGAACGTAGGAGTACATCTCAATCGGCAACAATAACACGAGTCATAAACTCGATTGCTCTCGATCGCTCTCGATGCAGATTGAGCAATTTAAAGATTCGTACCAGCGAATCGTCCCAGCAGCGTATCCTTTGCCAAAAGAGGATCTCGAAATATCTCCTCTCGGTACGTCACGATTCCGCGAGGTGCAACGGTTTTGCAGGTACGCGATCGTAAGAAAAAAATTCAGGCGAGCAAGCGATGAAAGTTTAACGATAACTACCTCGCGATAATTACCTTCGTGACGAAAACAAACTAAATTTGAAAGCGCGGTCGCTCCGTATAAAAGTATCTAAATTTATATAACCGGAGGAGGTCATCTCGATTATTCGAGTGTTAAAGGTTACACACAGCTGATTACCGAACGAATGAGAACCCCTGCACGCACGCACGTACTTACGCATACAAAGTAACAAGTTTGTCACTCGACACACCCCGGCCGGCAACTCACAATTGTACGAAATTAGGATCGAGTGAGATCTAATATAATATAACAGTTATATACGTGAACGAGAAGATAAGAGATACAAGAAACAG